TTCCCCGGCCACAAGCAGGGAGTTGGATGGGAAGCAGGGCCGCTGGGATTAGAACCAACGACCATACGGGATCCTGGCGTGTGCAAGGCGAGGACTTAACCATTATGCTATCGCGCCGGGCCCCAGACAATATTTCTTAATCAAGAAATATCTTGTAAGATAGTGAATTTTCCTTTGAGTTTGGGTCAGAAGTGTTCAGATATCAATTTAACAAATGTTGAATTATAAATATTTTTTAAAATGTTCTTTTTGACATGCAGAATGTTGTGAAATTGTCAGAATTAGTCATAAAAATATTGGTATTTCACCCTGAAATGAAAGACTGTGAGTTAATATGTGTGCCTAGGTTACCCTCCTGATAATACTAATAATAACGGGATGTACCTTAAGACCTCAAGAAGGTAATGCAAGTCTTTAAACTAGACGTTTAATGCTCTTTTTTTTCTTCTGCCTCTTCTTTTTGTTCCTTTGTATAACATGTAAATATATTTTCCTAATTGCCTTTGCACTCAGAATATCCTAAGTATTTTCAGAATATCCTAAGGAATAGGTAGTCAAGCCCATCCCAGATATGCACACGGACTGACCACTTGTTGGTTCTCTGTGCCATAGGGCTTGGTTCCAGGCAACTGAGATGTGTTAGAGCTCAGGTTCAAAGCCCTGGGGTGAGCAATCCTGCTCAGAAAATCCCCCTCCAACCAAACTACTTGTGTGGGATATTTGAGTTCCCCTCAGGGTTCTCCAGATAGTGGCGGACCATAAAATTTGGGGCTCTCATTTTAGGACCCATATTCATAGTATCTTCATGAATTTTAGCTTTAGAGAAGGAAGATTAGAGCAAAAACAGAGCTATAGTTGGTCAAATAAGAAATACTACATATTTTAGCAAAGAGATGGGGGAACTTTGGTATTTGTTGAGCATTGGTAAACTTGCCTTTTCTCTGGGCTTAGACAAAAAAAAAAATCGAATGAACCTGCTCTGTCCCATTTTATCATAATCTCAAAGTAGCCCAGTTTGAGGTTGGTATTATATCTGATAGGAGAATAAAATAGACTAGCTCTGAGTCCAGCTGCTTTTCAAATGTCAGAACTATTATTATATATATATATATATATATTTTACAGTTAAAAGGACCTGTTGGAAGTGTAACACTAAATTAGAAGGGTCAGTCGGGGGAAGTTTTCTGAAGCAGTGACATCAGAAGTTGGCCCTGACTCCTAAGAAGAGAGTAAAGGGGATTGAGAAGGGTGTACACAGAGGAGAAAGGGGGACGGCTTCTGCTCAGGAGCGTTCCTTTTAGAGAGGAGCAGCCAGTGTGCGCAAAGAAAATCCCAGCACATCTCAAAGAGAGCAACCTTCAAGAGTGGGATGGTTAGCATCAAGGGCTGGAGCAGGGAAAATGTCTCAACTTCCAAATGCAAGGAGCCAGAGTGGGAAGCTATGAGTGTGATGTTACACTTCTCTGAGATAGATGGCTCCTTGCTGCCCACACCATCCCCTCCCAGTCTTTGTTCAATTATGTATTTATGCAGAAAAAAATCCAGTGTAAATTGATATATTAATATGACCCGGGATATTATGCAACTAAATTGCTTGTGCAGAAAGGTTTACAAATGTCCAGGGAGAGAGATAAGGTTGTTAGCTATTGAATGAGTTGTTGGTGGCAGAAAACCAACTATCCTGAAAATGATTTTCTTTGTTCTTTGAAACTACATGGACCAAAGTGATTCTACTAAACTAGCTAACATATAACATTTCTAAGGCTTTGTGTGCATTTGATGATGAGGGATTAAGACATGCTATTACCATTTTATTTACTTTTATCCAATTGAATGCTATGTGAATGTTAGTTCAAGGAAACCATTGTTGCCAATGGAGAACTCAGTATGGTAATACAAGAAAATATTCACCATGATACTCAGAGAGTAGAGAATAATGGTTACAACCACCAAGAGCATATGGATTTAAATGGCAGCCCTACCACTTTCTGGTTGCGTAGGCTTGGACAAGTGATTTATTTACTCTAGTGTCCTCATCTATAAAACAGAACACTGGTCCCAACTATAAAGAATTACTGTAAAAATTAAAACATATGTCAACTTATTCAACCTGTAATATTTTGAGTATTATAATAAAAATTAGCACCATTGTCTGAAAAACAAAAAACAGATCACCATATTCTTTCAATAAATGAATAGCCAACTAACAAGTATGTATAAGTGTTCACACTTATTACCAAGAAGTATACTTTCTAATGGTTGTATATTAAACCACCACCCCTGCTACAAAAGCAACCTGATAATGAATCGATCTTTAATAATATGTGAAATTATGCAAATTATTTAAAGTATTTTTATATCTCCCTAGCATGTCTGATATATCCAGACCTTACTGTGGAGACGGACTTAAGTAAGTCTGTGACTGAGCTCTTTGGAGTTTGCCTGACGAAAGCGTGAGGAGTCTCAGATCTTTAATTGAAGCATCCATATTTAGTGACACTGAAATAAGTGTGATAACAGCTTGATCAAGCAAAGCTTGACATGAAGCAAACACCTGCCTGGTGTTAATAAGACACATGAATTTTAGAAAACAAAATTCAAAGAAAGTTATCGCTATGTCTGTCTTGATAAAATACTAGCAGAGTTCTCATTTATTTCATTATATTCAAAAGCTAATTTGGATTCCTATGAAATGTGAACAGAAGATCACATGTAGACTCATGGCAGGTGGAGGATTTTAAAATACAACGTAATATCCATAACGCAAAATTCATTAAGGCACAATGTATTAAAATGAATACTTATTTGTTCCTGAATACTTATTAGAACAAACCAGAGTTATCTGAGGATGAACTTCAAGTATCTTAGTAGGCATACTTATATGAGATATTCATGTAACACATCTTCATAATATTCCTCAAAAGAAATTGTTACAAGAAATTATTAAAAATTAAAATTTTCCAGTTGTTTTTGGAACATATGACAAAGTTATTTAAAAGTAGAGGCATATTATAAGTCGAGCACCAAAAGCTTTATAAAATATCTACCCCCACAATCAATTCAGCATTGTTTGTTTTATTTTACTTATTTCTATTTCTGATGCCAGGTTTTTGTAAGATTGATAAGACTCTAATATTGTTCATATACACTGAATGTTCTAAAGACAGCATTTTACTTGCTTTTGTTAGCACACAAGTGTATAAAACAAGGGCTTATTAGACTCATTTGTGTTTTCATTGGATATATGTACAATTTTTACAAAGAAAAGTTTTGCCTTGTTTACTTTCCAATTCTGTTTCACTTAAAAAGTTAGCATTTACTCAAAAATAATTAATATTCATTTATGGTTGTTATTTAGTTGATAGTGATGAATTAGTCCCAATAAAGTATGGCTAATTGAAATCTATGGAGCTGCTAATTGAAATCTATGGCATTGTAAACATTTACTTTGATCTTCTACACTTAAGCTTATTTTGCGCTCAACGTTTGTCCAGAGCTGCCAACTAATAGATGAAATGAAGATATTTTTCTTTACTTTCATCATCTCAGAGATCTAAATAAAATGAAGCATTTTTGAATAGGTTTTATAGAAATACTTTCACATATATTCATTCTCTGTTGATAGTAACGATATCACTTAGGGAAAGGATTCCATATAAATATAGATTTTATTTTATTATACTCATTTATAGATGATGAATAAATTCAAGATTACATGTCATACTCTGAAGTAAATGCAGGTAATCAGACCTAGAAAAAAAGTTTAGAATATTAGTCTTTTTTGAGTATGTTATGTTGCTTTAAGTAATGTATAATGTTTCTCACAACTTTCACTCTTAATCTCCTTGCTACCCTTTGTCCATGTAATTTTATTTATTTTTAATATTATTAATTTGTTTGAAAGACAAAAAAAGTATTTGTAAGGATTGATTTATAAATTCTTAATTGTTTCATTTTTCTCTAAATCCTCTTGCTGGACTATAGGCTTCGGAAAATGAAGACTAAATCGTATATTTGTTGGGAACTCGTATCAACCATCACTGAGTACATATGTAGTAAATGCTTGATTAATATTGATTATTCTTAATATACCCAGTGGAGCAATGCTGAACCATAACTTACATCACAGTATATGTATTCCCATCCGTGTGGGTTGTAATTTAGTCTGCACAGTCACTTAATAGAGTTGAGTACAGTGTAGTTTTTAAACTATGCCTGTACATCAGTTGACCCTAGCATTGATTTTTATTGGCCAGTGAAGCAAAGGCGCACAGCTTGTGGGATCATATCAACTATACTTACCTGAATAAAGCAAGCATTTGCCCGTGTGTCAGAACCGAGACCAGAAGCATTAGGCAGTGATTGCTTTTCTACAAAATTACATTAGCATCACCATTCTCCTTATTATAATTTCTCAGCAGACCTGGATATCTATTACTGGTAGTTCCTGTGGTACAGCTTATGAAAGTGCATTCCATTAGTCATGATCAATGCTGTTGATCAAGTGTACTGTTCTTTTTTTAAAAATTTATTTATTTTTATTGCAAAGTCAGATATACAGAGAGGAGGAGAGACAGAGAGGAAGATCTTTCATCCGATGATTCAATCCCCAAGTGAGCGCAACGGCCGGTACTGCGCCAATCCAAAGTCAGGAGCTAGGAGCTCTTCCGGGTCTCCCACGCAGGTGCAGGTCCCAAGGCTTTGGCCTGTCCTCAACTGCCTTCCCAGGCCATAAGCAGGGAGCTGGATGGGAAGCTGGGCCACCAGGATTAGAACTTGTGACCATATGGGATCCTGGTATGTTCAAGGGGAGGACTTTAGCCACTAGGCCAATGTGCTGGACCCAAATGTACTGTTCTTGTAATCCTAATTTTAAGAAAGAAATCTTCATCTGAAAATCATATCATTGAAAATAAAGAATGACACTGTGTGCACATTTGATTTCTCTAAAACATAAATATGCTGCTTAAACCATCAATTGCCTTTGTTCCTATTTTAAGGTGAATTTGGAGAAGTCTGTAGTGGGCGTTTGAAGACACCAGGTAAAAGAGAGATTCCAGTTGCCATCAAAACGTTGAAGGGCGGCCACATGGATCGGCAAAGGAGAGATTTTCTAAGAGAAGCTAGTATCATGGGTCAGTTTGACCATCCAAATATCATTCGCCTGGAAGGTGTTGTCACAAAAAGTAAGTTACTCATGCTCTGCATCTTTCTTTCTTGCATTTATATAAGTTCCTTTATAAAGGAAATGAATAAAAGTACACAGTCATTAATGCACAACTTCTTTAGATATATCATCCCTTGGAGTCTTGATAGTAGGATATGACATTATCAGAGTTTGCATTGGTCACGAAACACCTTTGAAGTGATATTACCTTTAAATCACTGCTAATTTAATTTGAAATAATGAATCAAGAGTAAAGATACATACATATATACATATATATGTTTCTTTTTCTAAATGTCAGCATTAATGGAAGAAACAACTTCAGTATTTCAGAACATTAAGTCAAAGTAATGAACTTAACAAGTAAAGTTCATGAACAATTATAGAATGCTTCATCTGGAAAGACTTTTAAATTTCAAGTTTTGTATGGAATCTATCTAAGTTAATGCTGTTAGAAATATATGTACATAAAAATGAAGATTGCAACTTTGGAAGTAAAAGTCTTGCTTCTGCAAAAATGATCATATCAAGGCCATTCCTTTGTGAGAAAATTACTAAAACATCCAAATTAGTGTTGTATTCAAATAAATGTATTTCCACATATTTATTTTTATTTGAATAGTGATAAAGATAAAATATAACAGCTTCTCTATTTTATTCACCAGTGAATAATACAGATTCACCCAATGTAGGTGGTATTTAACTTTTCAGAAGAATAGCCTAAATGTTTGGGAGATACTTTTCTTTTGTAAAACTAAAAATTCTGTTAAAATCCTTTCAATGAAGTTAAAACTTTCTCGTTTTTAAAAGCAGAAGAGAATAAGAGCTCACTCAAAACATATAACTGTATCTAAAACTAAACCCTTCTCAGGAGGCATTAGTAGCACACTGTCCCAAGGAGCAGGAAGCTACAGACAGCCACAGTACTGCAGAGGACTGGAAAACCAGCCGGCAGGAGGGTTGAGGACAGGTGCTGTGTTTTGCCTTTGCCTTGCTGCTTCCCTGGCCCATCACGGAACCTTTGCCTCTCTGTCTCTTTGTGTCTTTCCCCTCTACACTGCCATAGTTGTTTCCCTATGGCACATGAGAAAGCATTTGCAAGTGAAGGCATGTTCTGTGTTTGCATGTTGGAGCTCGGCCTCTTTCACCATAGCTCTCTGGATCCCAGCCTCTGTGATTCACAGAGAAGATCGCTTTTTGGAAGCCATAGCAGCACCACAGCATGGAGACCAGAGGAGCATCTGTTCACAATCACAGCTCTAGTCCCAGTAGCTAACACTAAATGGCTACCTTGTGAAGGAACCCACCGCCAACAGCATCACTGTCTCCCACCCATCCCCAGAGCACTGTCCTAACTGCACTGTGGTCACAGTGCAGCAAAGGAATCCTGCACAGCAAAGGAATCCTGCAGCTCAGTCCCATCAGCAAATGAAAATACCAAGAGAATGAAATGGTTAAATTTTGAATTAACTAACATTTACCACTAAGTTTTGAATCATTTGTTACTTGGCAAGACAACCAGACAACTAGAACTCTTCTGCTTAAGATTTATGTAATTGGAATATATTAATATCTCTGTCCTTTACTTCCACATCAGTGTAATGGAGCTATAACAGCCCCTATTCTATAGAAATGCTGCAAAAATTAAATTTCTAAATATGTAATGACCTTAATATATTTATACTTACAATAAGCCACATTTTAAGAATAACCACTAATGGTCCTACGTGTGCCAAACACTTTACACAGAATTAACCATTTTATGCTCACAGAAACTCAAATGAGTCTCATCACCCCTATTTTATGGATGTAGTTCATATGGGTTAATTAACTACGTATGGACCATAGTATGTGATGTCATTGGCGTTTAAACTGAGATTTGTCTTATTCTAAAGTCAATACTTTATCTTTATTTGTTTCCTGTGTTTTTTTTTCTATATCTAAATGAATACGTCAGGGTTTAAATACTTTAATTGTCCTGTCAGAATTGACTGGTTTAAATAATCTGAATTCAATTACATAATCCTGCTTTTCAAAATAGAAAAGTTATTTGGATAACATGAAATAAAACCACTGTAGCATATAATATTTTGGAAAGGCCAGTTATACCACAATGCCTAGTAAAATTTATAAGCTAAAATAGAGAAATCAAGGGACTGAAGAAATAACATATGAATTATTTCTTTTATATTTTTTGACTTTTTGGTCTTAATCTAGCATGATCATTTTTAAGTTTTGATCTCTTATACATCCTGGCAGGCAAAATATAATATCTTTAGGATGTTTGAAATATTTACTTGTGACATTTAATAAAAATATAGCATTTATGATATTCAAGTCCTGTGTATATATGAAATATCTTAAAACAAGTGCCCAGCAATATATTAAAAGTATAAAAGTATCAGATCTTTATTTTCTCCCTTTGCTAAGTCAAATTATCTTTTTCATATATTCCTATGTGTTTTATTAACATACTATCATTAATATATGTAAATCAATAGAATTTAGGAAAAGGAAAAAAAACATTTTATCTTACAAAATAATGGGAATTAGTTATCCCAGGTCAGCTAAATCAATTTAATAAAATATTTTGCCAATTTGAAATAGTTAATTTCACATAAACCTACAGACAACCACCAGATCAATACATCTCTAACAGTCTCATCTACATGCAGATCCATTCCTCAACTCAGCCAAATTTGTGCAATTGTCCCATTGCTTAAAAAAATTCCATTTCTGTTATAAGAAAACTTGTTGAGAAAGGATAAATGTAGTGTGATCCTGAAGGGTTAGCACAATTACAATTCTGCCATAAAAGTAAGTCCCAAATAATGGTGATGTGGTGCTGGTAAGGCACGTGGTGGGTGTGGAGGAAAGAATAATTCCCATAAAGATGAGAGGGATCGTTATCATCTTGACTCAAGTGCTATGGGATTGTTAGCAGTAAGGCAATAAATAAATGAATGCCTCATTCCCATAAATACATGGCAATTGTTCCAAGATTGCCCTTAAGTAGCTAAGAGATAACTAGCAATTAATGCTCCCTAAAGACTAGCTTATTGCATAAACAATAATACTGATGAAGATAAAGATGCTCTATAGGTTTGCAGGGGCTTGTATGTAGAGTATCCCGGAATGTCCGATACAAATGCAGACGCCCAGCAGAAAGTAATACAAAATTAAAGATCAAAATCTTCATCAGATAGTTTTATAAGTTCTTAATTACATTATTTTCTTCTGCATAGGTTTTAGCTCGCATGTGTATATTAAATTCTTGGGAGTACTTTTGTTGTTTTTTATGTTTGGGCATAGAACTGATTTATTTTAAACTCAAAAGTTAAGTAATTAAAAATCTTATGATACAAAATAGTTCATGATAAAAACAATCCATTTATTTGATACACATCACAATTTCATTCAATTTCATTGACCTATTAAGATAGAATGATGTGACAAGAGAATTATCAGCCTTTAACCATATGCTTAACACATATCTCTCTTCTCCAAAAAGCCAATGGAACCTGTTAGTAGGAAGACAGACAGTAGCCATGAGTAGCATGACGAAAGTGAACAGTGTACACATCAGTGGGATTAGCTGTGCCACCAAAAGAGAAAACCTACCCATCATCCAGGCAAAGATAAGAACTGCAATTCATTCTCTCTCTCTCTCTTGCTCTCTCTCTCATACTCTTCCCCATCTCCCCCTTTCCATCATGTTAAAATAAAGAAGTCTTAAAAACATATATAGCAGACAAATTCCCAAACATAATTTCATTTAGTAAAAGGACTTCTTAAAGTTTCCATAGGACAATATTTAATTTATAACAGAAAGTGTTCATTTAAGTGCTCAAGAATATTTTAGATTCCTTTCAGAGCATTTTGCTGAGTCTACATGCAGTTTAAGGGAGTAGTTTCTCTACTTTTTAATTTTGAATTTTATGGTACAATTCCATAGGGTCTGAGATTTCCCTGCTCCCTCCCTAAATTCCCACAGCCTGACTGATTTTCCCCATATTATTACAGTAGTATACTCCTTCATAAGCAGTCATAAATCCATCAGTCTGTTGTGTAAGTGTGCCCTGACTTTGCTGATACAGACAATGTCAGATAGTCCAGCATCCTATTGTCTAGATATGTCCAACAGTTTCATTGGGAGTCCATCTTTGATTTGGAAGTAGAGATGCATAGTGCATTGTATCTTCACATCTGGATATAATAGTCTCTATTGCACTGTCACTATACATTCCTGTAAATAAGAATGCATGAAACAGATTCTCCAGTTCTGATACAATTGCATCTTATTGCACCTGGGAAATCAACAAAAGATGGCCCAAGTGTATAAGCCCCTGCTACTATGTGGAAAATCTGGAAGAATAATCAGCCCTGCCAGGTCTGGCCATTGAGCAAATGACTCAGTGGATGAATATCTCATTGTGTGTGTGTGTGTGTGTGTGTGTGTGTGTGTGTGTGTGTGTGTGTGTATTTGGAACTCTGCCTTTCAAATAAATAATAAATCTCAGAGAAAATTCCAGCTTGTCAAATATATGGTAGTACATGCACAAGAATTGCCTCTTTGATCAAATAATTCTATTTTGCCATACCATACATTTTCTCATGATTTCTATCATTACTGCCGCAAGTGAAGTGTTGTCTGCTTATCTGCCTGGTTATGTGTGTGCTAAGTCATATAGCCTATTCAGACCTCAACTGTTTTCCTCTGCACAGAAGATTGAAAAGTGCAGGTTAGCCTAGAAGACAATCAATGAATCACTAAAATGTCCTGATCCCATTCCTTTGCCCAAATGAGAGAATCACAAGATGATAGTGAGGAAGTATGACAGTGATAACGTATCAACACCATCCAGCTTTATTATAATGTCAGGTTCATACTGATGATTCAAATGAAGATAGATTCAAGAAGAAACAGGCAAAAGAACAAACAAGTTTAATAAAGTTTTAAATTTAGAATCTAAAGTCAAAGTGTTGCACCTAAAATTTTCCTGTAGGAAAAAAATCCAG